GCCCTCCCGTGGGGGGGGGGGGCTCGGGAGCGACGTCGTGGGGGGGGGGGAGGGGGGCTCAGGGCCTGGAGAGCCTGGCGTCTCGACTGGCTCGAGCGGGGCGCTCTCGCTCGTTCGTCGGGCCCCAGGGCCCTCACGGATCGATCTGGCTCGCAGAGTGACGCAGAAGGATAAGGCCTAGGGCTCTGGGCGTGACTCTTTACGATGCTGCATGTGTTTTGTTTGCCACGCCGGATCTCAGGCGGGTTCGCTCTCTGGAGGGTGCTGCTCGTTCTTGGTCGCCCTCGTGGCCAGGGCTGGATCCGCCACGAGATTCTGCTCAGAACGCACCGCAGGAGAGGTCCAGGGGCCGATGGATGTGGATGTTCGGACGCTTATGTTGGTTCTGAACACGGCGGCGGCATTGGATAAGGAACGTCTTCCTGGGGCCCAGACTCTGGTGCATTCCTCAGCGTTTCAAGGCGAGGTGGGTGGCCCACGTTCGGCCGCCCATCGGTCGCGAGACCCTGGGCTCCCTATCTTACAGCATCCTCATCCAGGGGGACTGCATACTACCCATTATGGGATCACGCTCTGCGGCGTGACAGCGAGGCACTAGTGACCTGTCAGCTCTCAAGTGTAGTATACGTACTTATCACGTGCAGGTGCATATTTCACGAAGTGGTCCTCTATGCTGCCTAATAAAAAAAGATAACATCCTCATCCAGAACCTCCACCGTAGTTCTCCGGCTTCGGGATGCTCTCGAGCAGCTGCGCCTCGCCGACAGCGTTGGTGCCCGGATCGTCCCGAACAGCCGCCAGCGAGCAAAGCTATGACCTCCTCCTCCTCCTCCTCCACCTCCTCCTCCTCCTCATCAGCATCATCATCATTATCCTCGTCCTTGTCCTCCTCCTCATCATACTCGTCCTCCGCCACCGCCTCCCCCTCCTCCTCGTCCTCCTCCTCCTCCTCCTCCTCCTCCTCCTCCTCCTCCTCCTCCTCCTCCTCCTCCTCCTCCTCTGCCTTTCTCCGGGCGGGTGCTGCGCGAGGGCGCGGAGAGAGCCGCGCTTCGCGAGGCGCTGCGCGGCGCGCGAAGTCTGATTCGGGGGGGCGTTCGATCAGGAGTGCACCCGGAGGCTTCCGACCCTGAAGGGCTCCTTGTCTGATGATGGATGTTCCCACCTACTTTAGTCTTGGTCACCAGAAAGAATTTCGAGCACCAGGAAAGTACCGAAATTGAAGGGTTTTCACGTGTTTGGCCCTGGGAGACACTCGTCCGACACTGTTTCGACACTTTGGATGCTCGAAATTATTTTTGGGATGTGGTCCTTAAGTACGATGGGAACAACATAAGGCCAAGCCCGAATGGGTGCTCCACTGGCTTTCAGGCCCTCTATTCCTTGTCTGAGGGTCTCTTGTGGGATTCCAGGGGGGGTCCTAGCTGCTCTTGATTGTGTTGCCAAGTGTTGTGCTGCGACAAGCATGCCAAATTCAAGGGAGGCCAAAAGCACCCCGAGCCCCACAACTGGCATGTACTACACGGCCCTGGGCGTTTACAAAAAAAGCCATGCCCTGCTCGATTCCTTCCCTGGGTGCGTGTACTCCATGGCCTTGCTTGTCGGGGTGCTGACTATGAGGGTGGCTTTTTCTGCTCTCTGAGGGTTCCTTGCCCCATGCCCTCAGCCTTATTGAGAGTTGTCGGGTTCCGAGAGGGGCCCCAGCTGCCCTCGATGTCGTTGCCAGGCGTTTTGCTGCAGCCGGCACGCCACGTCGGCTCGGGCTCGGGCGCTCCGCGCGGCTGCCGTAGGGCAGGGCTGCCTCGCGGCCGAGGCCCCGCCCGCTGCAGGCCACCCCCCTTGCCGCTGGTGTATATCTAGCAATGCCCGCCTACCCCGACGGCTCCGCGAAGCACGTCGGTCTCGATGCCGAGTCCCCTCCTCCTCATCAGGGGCAGCAATAGGGGGGGATAGGCATAGGGGGGGATCTGCATCGACACGCAATCGCCCATTGATCGCCGATAGGGGCCCGATAGCCCCAACCTGCCCAGGAAGGTGCGGATTCACTATCAGCTGCCCATCGCCGATCTATCGGCGATGCATCGCCGATTCCAGGTCGATGCATCCCCCCCCATGCTAGTCCCCCCCCTATCGTTGCCCCTCACCTCAGCTGCAGAAGAAAAAGCTGCAAAAGCATAAGCTGTCGGCGCTCTGCGCGGATTTCTCGGATCGGCGCTGGGCTCCCCTCTCCCCAGCGCCGATTCAAGAAATCCGCGCGGAGCTCCGACGGATGATGTGTGTGCAGTTGGTTGTTCCTCTACTCATGCGCTCAGCATCTGGCAGACTGCCACCGTTGTGTGCTTCGACGTGGACTGCACCGTCTGCAAGAAGGACTCCATGGATATGATCGCCGAGTTTGTCGGTGCCGACGCTGCGGAAGTGGAGAGAATCACGAACCAGGCCATGGACGGGTCGCTCTCGTTAGAGGAAGCCCTCCAGAAGCGCATGGACATCATCAACCCGACTCCCACAATCATCAAGAATTTTCATGAGGCGCACCCGCCGGAGAGCCGTCTCTGCCCTGGCATTGCGGAGCTCATGAAAGCTCTGCACGACCGTGGTGCAATCGTGTACCTCATCAGTGGCGGTTTTCGCGAACTGACGCTGCCAGTTGCTAAGCTGCTCAACATACCGTTTGATCGCGTCTTCGCGAACAGGATGTTCTTCCAGAACGACGATATCACCCAGCAGCCCACCGTCTTTGCTGGGTTCGATTTCTCTCAGCCGACAGCGCACGCAGGCGGCAAGCCCAAGGCCATCCAGGGAATTCGCACAAATCGCCCGTTCGAGACCATCATCATGATTGGCGACGGCATCACAGACTTAGAGGCTGCGGAAGAGGAGGGGGCAGCTGACCTATTCATCGCCTACACCGGGATCATCAGTAGACCCAATGTCGTGGCTGGGGCCTCTTGGGCAGTCAAGCACTTCGACGAGCTCCGCAGACACCTGAAGAAGCACCGCGTAGCCTATGTTGGCAGCGGCGCGTGGGCGTGCGCGTCCGCGAGAATGGCAGCCCAGACGTGCAGGGAGTCAAGCCTGTTCGAGACGGACGTCCTCATGTGGGTGCATGACGAGGAGCTGGAGGACGGCAGGATGCTCGCAGATGTCATGAATGAGAGGCACGAAAACGTAAAGTACCTCCCCGGAGTGGGCATAGGCGAGAATATCATTGCGTCCCCAGATCTGATGGAGGTTGTCAGGGACGCCGACGTCATCTGCATTTGTGCCCCGCACCAGTTTGTTCACCGCATTTGTGTGCAGATGCAGGGGAAGATCAAGCCTAGCGCAATCGCGATCTCTTTGACGAAAGGTATGCGCATCCGCGCTGAGGGCCCTCAGCTAGTGAGCGCCATGGTGCGCTCCAAGCTGGGCATAGATTGCTCGGTGCTGATGGGACCCAATATTGCCGAAGAGGTTGCAGCAGAGAAGCTGTGCGAGGCCACGATTGGATACAGGCAGGTGGAGAGTGCGCGATTGTTCCAGAAGTTGTTTGAGAGGCCTTATTCTGAAGGCCTCACGACCAGTGCCGCCGACCCACCACAGGCGGGACCTCCCTGGGGATCCCCGCCCGGCGACCCTTCCCAGGACTTGCCGGGACCCCCGGGGGGGTGGGACAGTGCATTCTAACCCGCCCCCTCCCCCCTCCCCCAACAGGCGAGACTTCCCCCGGGACCGCGAGCCCTCCCGGGACCCCCCGAGACGCGGGGGGGGGGGGGGGGGGCGGGGGGGGGGGGGGGGGGGCGGAGGCGGTGTTCTGACCTGGTGGGGGACCTTGGGGCAAAAGCGGCTTTCTTGCCCGGGACTGCAACACCCCCACCACAGGCGGGACCTCCTTTGGGACCCCCGCTGGCAACGCTCCCTGGGACCCGCCGGGACCTGCGGGGAGGGCGGGCATTCTGATCAGGGACCCCCCCTCCAGGACCCCTATTACCCCCCCACCAGACACCCCACCCCTATTAGGGATGGAAAAGAGGGGGGGAATCGACTTAACTGCTAAGTTTCTTTTCCTTGTTTCTCCATTGCCTTGGGACTGGCCACGAAAACGACGACACCGACGACGACGACGACGACGACGACGACGACGACGACAGCGTCCCTCACACGCCGAAGTGTCGGCGGATTTTTTCGTTTCTTGCGTGCCGGACATTGAAGGTTGCGAGCTTTGTGGCACGCTCAAGAATATTATCGCGTTGTCCGCTGGGTTTACCGACGGGCTTGGCTGCGGTGCCAACACCAAGGCTGTCATCCTACGCGTTGGTATGTCAGAGATGAAGAGGTTCGCGAAGGCATTGTACCCATCGGTGCAGGACGAGACTCTCATGGAGTCTTGTGGCATCGCTGACCTCATCGCGACCTGCTTTGGCGGACGCAACCGACGAGTCGCAGAGGCATTTACCAAGGAGCAAGGCAAGAAGTCGTTTACAGACCTTGAGGCTGCTCTCCTTGGTGGTCAGAAGCTGCAAGGAGTGCTCACATCCAATGAGGTTCAGTCAGTGCTTGTCGCTAGAGGTTGGCTTCAGCAGTTCCCACTTTTCGCTGCTGTCAACGACATTGTTAACGGCAGGGCTACTCCGGATGTGATTCTCAAGACTGATTTCAAGCCCAAGCCATAATGACGGGCCAGGGTGCCAGACCAGAGCACAGATCGTGGGTTAGTAACACATTCTGGGTTGGACCGCGACCGTTGCCATCCGCGGCGATCGCATCTTCCAGAGTTCCGGATGGCTCCCGATTGCTGCTGAATAGTTGAAGCGGGAGCGACCTGAGAGTACCATGTTCATCTGCGAACAGCGCTTGCGCAGAGTCTGTTTCTAAAACGGGAGGCTTAGAGAATCAAGTAGTTGGTTGGGCGATGCAGCTTGCACGGGTAAGAGCTCATCGGGTGGTCATGGTCGCCTTCGGCTATTGGGAATTTCTTGGGGCGGTGCTAGGGAGCATAGGAGTTGTTGGAACATTATGTG